TCCTTAACAAAAGATGGACTCTACGCGGTGGCTCAGCGGAAAATCTAATGGCTAACAACGCTAAAATGGAGTGAGCACAGCAAAGATAACCCATTGTGCAGCTTTATGTCTGACCAACGAAGAAAAAAAGCAAAAGTCTAGTGGTAAATATTTCCAAATAAGATTTAACTTTTCATAACCAAGAATAGTAAATATATAAGCTTCTTTACCGCCCTCTAACTTTTCATTATTTATAAAATATATATAATTAATAGGTTTATTATAAATATTCTATAGAGTTTCGTGATGTTTCATAATTACATGACAGAAACTTGAAACTAAATTATATTTGAAACAGAAATAATTTTATTAAAAATTAAAAATAACTGAAGATTTAGCCACCATATATTATGTAAAAACTTATCATTAAGAAAATTGAAAAGAGAGAGAGAGAGAGAGTACACGTGACAAAACTTCAATAACACCAGCAGCATAGAACAATATATTTTCTACTCGTGCCACTTATTTAGAAGTGTTTAGCAAATATTTTATACAACAAATATTAATGATGATATTTCTGAAGTCCTCTGATGGGCTAGCGGCAAGATTACGAACTTACAACGCTAAAATATGGAGTTTGATTCCACGCAGTGGACACAGCTGCTAGTCCAATGTGGTTTTGTTAAAAAAAAAAAATCAAAACCATGTTTCTGAATTATTCCAAAATAATGCTTTGTTGACGGATGAAGTCATACATTCAGGTTAATACATTTGAATAAAACAAGTGTTTCTTTTTAATTTTCGAACATCAGCAAAACTTTAATTGATTAATACGTAATACAAACATTTTACATACCCGTTCATGAAAACAAACAAAAATAAATACATTTATAGGAATTCCAGAAATATAAGGCAAAGGCTTTTGTTCTGAATAAGGTTAATAATGTACAATATTTCGTAGGAAAAGGGCAAAGAGTGCTTTGTATCAAAACAAAAGGGGAAAAAACATTACCGGTTTTATATATATATATATTCTATGTACAAGTGAGATAGTAAGAAGACGATGGAAAAGAGGTTACCAAACGTAATTGTATTCTTACGTTAACTTCATATAATATACGAAAAAAAGTCGAATTTCTAGTATCTCAAAAATGCAGTGTTTTATACTTTCATAAAAAGGAAACTTTTCTTAAGTTAAGAATATATAGGAAGGAGAAAAGTAGTGCTCGCTATTTACAAGAAATTCAGTTTAATTTCCTCAAAAATAGTCTTATATTTGTTAAGTACGTTTCTTAAAACATAATGAAATGTCCATAAGGACAGAAAAAAACATTTTGATAACAATTTACTTATTTCGGGAATAATTGAAATGTCTCTAAGCTAATAGCCTATTCAATAATGTAATACCAACAACAAATAAATACTCCAAATATCTTAATAAAACACGCTATTCGCGTGTTGAAAATATTACATAAACGTTATTATTAGAAATGTGATTTAATTTTTATTGTGTTTAATAAGTCACCACTAAACTCGTTGTTAAACTTACAATATTCCACAATGACTGCATCTCTGTATATTTAACATTAAATAGCTTTGTTGGTTAAAGCACAGATTCTTCAGCCATCACTGTTATTCGTGTCGTTTCTTCTGTTTGATTGTTGTCTGATGTAGATGATTTTTCAATCACACTATAGGAATGGTCGAGTTTTGCTGTCTTTGGTGCGAAAAGAATGTTACAGTTTGTACAGTCCACGCATCCTGGATCAGTAACCGAAAGCTTTGATAGTTGAGGTCGGATGGCGTTGTCCAACTCTTCTGCAAGCTCATCTTTCTGTATGTCATCTTTGTTGACATTATCATCTTTATCCTGTTCGAACCGAATCCTGGTTTGGAAGTTGGGCTCACTAGCTGTTCTAGGGGTATGAAGAACAGGGATGACTAGAGTGTTTTCATCCTCTTTCTGTCGTGTCCCTCCTCCTTTCACACGAACATGTTCATAATTAGGATTCTTAATCCACTTTACTGACCCTGGAAGAGGAAGAACATCAGAACTGTTGTTCATTCCCAGATTTCGAAGTCGAGGCCACGAAGTATTACGACTTAGTCGGAGACTATTTGACGAATGGTTCCGATACAAACGGATAGATCCCTGTGAACTAGAGTTTTTGTAGCTAATAGCTCGTTGTGAGCGTTTATCCTCATCACCCTGCCCAAAGCAACAAGAAGAACAAAAGCAGTAGATACTGGGACGTCCTGTACACAACTTCTCCCTGAAAGCCACCCGAAAACGATTGGACATAACGCTGTATAGGATCGGGTTGATGGTTGAGTTGAAATAGTAAAAACAACCTAAAAATAATAACAACATTCAAAGTAGGTTTAGATCTTTTTTGACTCTATTATCATATTGTTTCTATGCTACATTAGACATTAAATGAATAATTACTTGTAAAAATAGTAAAAACAAACAGTCTTGTTTAAAATTTATAATTTACATTCTGAGGCATCTACGTGATTAGTTGAAGAAAATATAAAATTGAAGACTATCCAATTACTTTTATTATTAAACAACGAAAATGTAATATTAAAAAAAATGGCTTTATACAATTCGTCTCATTATTACACGAAGACAATATCACATACAAAAAAATTATTTTCCAGTTACTTTCATTGCTATTCATTTGGAGTCTTGTTAACATCTTTAATTTTTTGAACTGTTTACAAATATGGAGATGCTTTTTATTCACTTAAAAGAAGTTTCATCATAAAACGTCAGAAGTTTTGGAATTCGGTAACTTTCCAGATGAAAATTTTGGGATTAACTCCCCTGTCAAGAAAGATGTAAATGTCATAAAAATCAGAAAAATACATATGCACCTTTCATGTCATTCCTTTTTGAATTGCGTAACCTGAGAAGTTTTCATTTTTACAGTTGCTAACACCTACCATTGCTAATATACTTTGCAATAATTGTTATATACGACATTTAACTTGTTTGTTTCGTATATTCACGAAAAGCTACTTAAGGGTTACTTGCGATAACCGTCCCTAATTTTGAAGTGATAGACTAGAGGGATGGCAACTAGCGATCACTACACACCGCCAATTATTGATTACTCCAATCGAATATTGGAATTTGATCGTCTTCTAAAATGCACCATTGTTCCAAACTTGGAGACCAATTTTGATGCAATGTTTTACGAACCATTTATCAAAGTTTAGGCATTTTCTGCAACGTTTTACGAACCATTGATCAAAGTTTAGCCATGTTCTGCAACGTTTTACGAACCATTGATCAAAGTTTAGGCATGTTCTGCAACGTTTTATGAACCATTGATCAAAGTTTAGGCATCTTCAAATTTTAACACATTATTTCTTCTACTGTTCGCTAAATGTGTTATAGAAAACAAACGATTTTGCTGCTTTGAGAAGAAAACTTTTGTTTCAGATCTCCATACTGCTTTCTTTATTGTAACTTAAACACGTTTTGTACTTTCCAAAGTGCAAGTACTTTTTATTGTGATTTAAGTAAGTTTTATTTTATATACCAACAGCGAAGCCATCTGCGTTTTGTTATTTGTTATCCGTAAGCTTAGGACTAGCTTAAGTATCCCAAGCTAACCAAGCCTCGTGAGGTATTATTAACATTATCAACTAATGATTCAATGCAATGTTACCGTCGTTTGTAGCTTTCTGTTGTGCTGATCTATAACATTCAGTGTCAGTTAGTTACACTAAATATATCTAGCTAACTAATACTAATAAGAGAGACTTAATAAAGCAATATCAAATGTTTAGCCCCTAAATTATCATTAATGGTGGTTTTAGAACAAAGAGCTCAAAAGAGTATCTTCTTTTAATATAAATCAGTTCTCATATTCGCTGTATTTCCAAGAAAATAAATTCAATCCTTGCATACCTGAATTGTTTAATAGTAACATCTTGAAAATAAAATAAAATAATGGGAAAGCCCTTTTTAACATTAAAATAACAGAAAATCGTTAACATCTCATTCTTTATAATTGCAGGTCTCTTTCCTGAATAGTCCTAGTGCCACAGGTTGATCCATATTATTCTGTTTTCCAATGAAATTAAGGACAAGGGATATACACGTCTAAAATCACAATCTGAACACGTCTTTATGATTTGAGAATATGGATATTTTGAGTCGAATTGCTATACATTCTTTCCGAAAGCGATAAATTTACTTTATACCAAACATTTCAAAATATAGTTTTGAAATGTGTCGTTCCACCACGACTTTATATTGGCTGTGATTTTCACGTGACTTGTTAATCTACATATTCACTTTTTTTTTTTACAGTAGCATGTATTTAACCGTCTGTATACCTTAATGTCTTAAAAGATATATGATTTTTTTTCCTATTTTTATGGCAAAGAACACGTCTTCCTTTAGATCTATGATTTTTTTCCTATTTTTATGGCAAAGAACACGTCTTCCTTTAGATCTATGATTTTTTTTCCTATTTTTATGGCAAAGAACACGTCTTCCTTTAGAACCCAAGCTTTATACTGGTTGTAAGACAGGCGTGTCGTATACTCAATCTCTTCTATATTAACACCAGTGGATTAGTTACAGTTACTTTCATTTACTTGAGAAGAGTACTGACAGCACGTGAAGATATTTTATCAGATTTGTTGTAATCAGTAACATGAAACTATTCTGTGTTGAAACTGACTGATCGATAATAAAGTTTCATTTTAATCGAACATGGCTTATCAGCGTCATGATTTTAGATGACTAATCTCTATATTGAAGCGGATTGGCCATTGTCACTGTATTGACACTTGACGTCAGCGGTATCCATGTTGTTGGTTCCGAAATTGTCGGATGTAAAGATATCCAAGTGACGGTTGAATGCTTTGTAATAATTTTACTCTTTCAGTTTAGGTAATCTCAGTTTTGTACGGTATTTTTGATACTTCACTAGGTATTTGAATAAAAAAATTAGAAA